TTCCAGTTAGATTTTTGACTTTCTGTGAGCGTTCTTAGCATTTGTAACAGTGTCCTGTTAAAACGCTCGGCTTGGCCCGTGATGCCACATTATTTCTGGAGCTGTTCAAACAACTGATTCTCAAATTCTCCACCTTGATCATGATGGATGCGAGACGGGAAACCAAATTTTAAGGCAAAATCATTGAAGATGCGATCTGCAGCTGTTTTACCTGACTTAGATGAAGTGGCATATGCTTGGGCGAATCGGGTGAAATTATCTACTACCACAAGTATATACTCAAAACCTCCTTTGCAGCGGTCTAAATGGAGAAAGTCAATAGAAATCAATTCAAAGTGCTGGGTCGAAACCATGTTTGTTAATGGGGCTCTAGTCTCATGACAGGGCTTTTTCTGCTTTAGGCATCTGCATGTCTTTGTGACATAATACTCAATGTATGCCTGCATATGTGGCCAAAAGAAACGTTCATGGATGAGTGAGAGAGTACGATCTATACCTTGGTGGCCCATTTCATCGTGAAGCTCTCGCAAAACTGTTCCTTTATATTTCTCCGGTAGGACCAACTGTGTGCATGTGGAAGTGGTTCGGCAGAGGATACCATCCTGATTAATGGTAAGTTTTCCCCATTCACGAAACAGACATTTTGTTTTTAAGCTGTATGTTTTGAGTTGTCTCACTTTTGGTTTTGTTCCAGACAGTTTGCATTCATATACAGGACTGATATCCTGGTCATTCATTTGAGCATCCTTCATTACATTCACAGACAAAGGGGTTATTGTCGGGACTGCTGGACAGGTCTGAATAGATGAACAGTTGATCGAGACTGACCATGGGATGCTGGGTCCTTCTTGAGCTTCTACAGCCTGAACGGTTGCACCTATTATGTCTGATGACAACTCCTCAGAGCACTCTTTCATCATAGTACCGATATCGAGGGGCAATTGGGACAGCGTAACAGCGTCAATATTTTCACAGCCTGGGCGATATCTGATTGTGAAATGGAAATCTGCCAATTCAGCCACCCACCTGCAACCGATAGCATTCAATTTGGCAGTTGACAGGACATACGTAAGGGGATTGTTGTCACTATATACAGTAAAAGTTGGAGCATAATACAAATAATCACTGAATTTTTCGGTGATTGACCACTTCAAAGCAAGAAATTCAAGCTTGCCTGAGTGTAGGTGGTAGTTTTTCTCAGCAGCAGATAGAGTACGGGACCCATAAGCAATCACACAAAGTTTCTCATTTTGCTTCTGGTATAATACTGCACCTAAGCCTTGAGCTGATGCGTCTGTGTGCAGTATAAAAGGCTGTGAAAAGTCCGGGAAAGCTAATACAGGGGGCTGGAGCAAACAGACAATTAGCTGTTCAAGAGTGCTCTGATGTTGTTCAGTCCAGGTAATGGGCTTACTCGATGGAACACCAGTTTTCATGCATTTTGTCTTTGATTGTCTCTGACTATTTTTCAGGTGAACATTATCTTCTGGAGTACTTTTTAACAGGTCATACAAAGGGCTAGCTATGCGAGATAAATCTTTAATGTATTGTATGTAGTAGCTAAGCAGACCAAGAATTCTCCTCAGCTCACCCACATTCTTTGGTTGTTTGTCTTTCAGGGATCTGACAGCTTCTGTATCTGCAGGATCAACTTTACTTCCCTCTGCAGAGATTATTCTATTCAGGTAGCGGACTTCAGGTTTGAAGAACTCACACTTACTTGGTTTAAGTTTGATGCCATGTTGCCTAAGCCTCCGCAACACTTTCCTTACATCCTGGACGTGGTTCTCAAAGGTCTTACTAAACACCAATGTGTCATCAAGGTATGGAATGCAGATCTCATCCCGCAAGCCGTCTAAACACTCTTCCATACATCGCTGGAAGGCTGCAGGAACATTCATCAGCCCGAAAGGAATACGCACCCATTCATACAGGCTACAGGGTGTCACGAAAGCCATTAGGTGCTTACTTTCCTTAGACATGAACCCCTGGTGGTAGGCCTTCCCTTGATCTAATGAAGAAAACCAGGAATTACCACCAAGGCTGTCCATAATGTCCTGCACCCTCGGAATTGGTTGTCTGTCTGGGTGAGTCTTTCTGTTCAGGTTTCGATAATCTATACATAAACGGATGCTGCCATCTTTCTTTCTTACGCATACAACTGGAGACGAGTATGAGTTGGATTTGTCAATCCAGCCTTGTGTTATGAGGTCATGTAAGTATTCTTTCATCTCACGATACAGGGGCTTTGGCACAGACATGTAAGTGCGATTGACTGGCTCATCATCTTTAAGTGATATACTCAACTGCAAATTTCTGATACACCCAATATCGTTGTCTGATTTAGAGAATGAATGACACTCTTCTCTTAACATTTGCTGTACTATTTGTCTCTGATGTTTACTCAGGTGGCTGACATCAACTGGCAGGTCCCAATGATCAGTATTGGTGTTGTTGTGACAGTTCTCCACAGCCTGGATGTGACATACCCCAACAGCGGTAGGGCTTGCCGGCACCTCAAACATACTAGCAGGGAAGACATTCTTGACAAACTGTACTGTACCAATCGGAGTCTGGCCAGTGTCGTTGTATATCTCAATTGTGATATTTGTTGGAGCCCCTCTTTTCAGCCTTATTAAATATTCTTTGAATTCAAGCCCATCTGCCCAGCAAGGATTCACATAGGGTTAAAAAATTAGTGTGCCGTCATCCTCAACTGGCTGCATGTACACTTGGCATGGGACCTGCACAGTACTACATTTGGGAACGTTAACATGGCCTTTCATGGTCTTTACTGTGTATTCATGTGAGCATTCTGCACTCACAAGTTTGATAAACGTCTGGACTTTGCTTCTTTTTAGGCTGGGGAATGCGGCTTTCACAGTTCTCTCAAGCGCTTTGTCACTCACAGTACTTGGCTGGGCTTGTTCAATGGAGTTCACAATTTGTTCTATCACATCGAAACCTATGATAGGGTGAGAGAGGTTTTGACCCCTCGCTACGAGTATGGGAATGACAAGTTCGGTGTGGTGAGATGTCTGTGACGCTAGTCTGAAAGTCACTTTAACATATCCAATGTAGGGCATCTCAATACCGTTGGCAGCCACGAGGTTCAATGTATTTGGAGACTCAAGAATGTCTGAAACATCTCTCAGTGGGACTTCTGGTAAGTATTCCTGTTTCCACAATCATCAAGTCAAGTCAAGTCAAGTTGAGCTTTATTGTCATTCTGCTGCATGTGGGGGACATACAGTGGAACGAAATGTCGTGCCTCACAGGACCACGGTGTTACATAAATACAGGCATACAACAATGAAGACAGTAAAAACCTATACAGTAATGCAGTAAAAACCTATACACCACTAACCTACTGACTGATTTTGATTATAAATATACTATATATATATATAAATGTTTACCTATACATAAGTTAAAAAAATATAGACTATACGGATGCTTCACATAAACACTGTACCTATACAGAGCTAACCTACTGACAGATTTTGACTATGAATATACTATATATAAATGTTTAGATAGAACGGTCGACACTTCACAAACATAAACTCCACCAGCGATGAACAGTGTTTTGTCACTACCACAGCATTGTTACACCACTCTTTGTTGACGTACACACACAAGCCACCCCCGCGAGTCTTACCAGACAGTGCTGTATCTCTGTCCGCTCGGTAGCAGCTGAGTCCGTGCAGCTGAATAGCGATGTCCAGGATATTGTCGTTTAGCCATGTTTCAGTGAAGACAAACACACAACAATCCCTTGTCTCATGCTGTGTAGACCGACTGAGTTGAATTAAGTCCAGTTTATTTTCCAGAGAGCGAACGTTTGAGAGCATGAGTGATGGAATCGCTGGTCTAGTGGGGTTAGCCCTTAGCCTAGCTCGTGTGCCTCCACGCTTGCCGCGCTTCTGTCCCCTCTCACATCGCCGGCGTCGCCGTGTTGTGCGGGTAGCATCAGCAGGCGAGGCCGCGGTCCCGGGGTTCGGCTTCAGCAGCAGACAGAGGCCTCGTAGCTTCTCAGTAGTCACCGGCGAAAGCTGTTGTTTGTACTCACTGCCGATTTCCAGAAGGCTCTGTCGATCATAAATGTGTTTCCGAGTGTTTATCTGTTGATTTTGCGATAAGATGAGACTGTTTGAAGACGAGGAAACGAGACTAACAGACATAAAAACACCGTTTTTGGGACCCGGAGTCGCCGCTGCGTCCGACCGCGCCGCCATCTTGGATTTCTGTTTCTTGGATCAATACCACATACCTGAGAGCCTGTGTCCCACAGTGCTTGAATTCGATGAATGCAGGTAACATTCAACAAGACATTGCCTCCCAACTAGTGATGTCACAGAGGAATGCTGGTTAACTCGAGTACTGCAGGGGGCGTGGACACCCATCGTCAGGTAGGAATTTGAAACTGGTCTTACTACTGGTGGGTTGATACAAGTTTGCTTGTGTTCAGTCCAATGGTGAGTTTGACAGATCTTAGAACAATACAGTATCTTTTCACATCGTGAACACTGCTTCATTTGCTTCTCTGTTTTTTCACAGGCTGCACATCTTTGGGACTGGTCAGTGGGTCTGGTTACTCCCTGTCCCGCAGAAGTAACCGCTCTCCATTTAAAGGACTCTCTCTTGAAGGCTTAATACCACGGATCCTGCATCCTGCTTGGAAGTGCTCGCCACTGCCACATCTAAAACAATGCATGCAACTGTCCTCTGTTCTTTGCTGCTGACACTTAAAGCACTTTCTTGCTTGGGAACGAGTAGGGGGTGCATAGTATTGTCGGGGTATATACTGGGGTTGAAACTGAGTATTCACTCTCATTTGGTTGGTGCCCGGGGGTGATGGCCAATATGGCTGCAATTGACACTGAATAATTTATCTTGCAGGGTCTCCCTGTGCAGGAACAGGACACTGTGGTGAGGCAAAAGCTGGTTGCTGCAATGATTCTCTGATGTGAGCTATTTCAGCACCGAGTGTTTTGAGAGAAGCTACATCAGTTCTCAGTTCTCAGTTCTTTCAGTTCCAACAGCACATTGGAAGATGATTTTGGTGCACTTTGAGTCGCACTGGATTTCTTATCAGTGGTTTCATCATTAGACTTAACTGCATGGACAACAGTCGTTGTGTGCTGCACATTGGTTTTCCTTTTCTTTTGTCTTTCTGCCTCATTAGCACAGGCAATGTTTAATTTCTCCAACAGCGCCTCATCTGTGGTTTTCGTGTCAAGAAGGAGGGGTTGCATATCTACTTTAACGCTGTCACTTTGGAGACCGGTGAGTACCGTATGTAAGAACATGCTTTGAACTAGGGATGCACCAAACTGAGCTCATGTACTCGTTAAAATGCCGATACCACACACTCGTTAACTCGTACTCGTTAAAACGCCGATACCACACAGCATGTGATAAGCGCCATATTCAAACAAAGAAACACCGACAACAGAACAACAGACCGCAGAAATGAGTTAAGGATGTCTACTACGAAGTATATGTATGCAATGAATATAATGTTAAACATTCAGTATTAACGCCTGTATAGCTGAAGTGAGCGAGCTGATAAACAAAGCACGCTGAGTGGATTGAGCGCGCGGCGGCGCATATGCGCGAGCTTGTCGAGTGAATATATCTTTCTCACAGACATCACTGGAAAGATTGTAGTTCGGTTGGATATGTCAAAAACAAGTAAAACAATGCACAAGTTACTTAACGGTAGGAGAGAGAGAGAGAGAGAGAGAGAGATAAACTGTGATAATGTGAGAAATGTTGAAGGTGTCTGAATAAATTTTGGTTTGACTGTATCAATTTGATAAATGAAGTTAACCAACTAACATTATACATACTCTTTTGGTTTCTGTACCCAATATTTAAAAAATTTACAAATGCAATAAAAATATTGGTATCGGTACTCTGTATCGGCAAGTACCAAAAATACAAGTATCGGTATCGGGCGAGTACTGGAAAAAGTGGTATCGGTGCATCCCTACTTTGAACTAATGCTGGATCATACTTGAGGCCTGATTCTGCTTCTTGGGATGCAAACAAGATTTTCTGGCACAGGTCAAGAACACGCATAAGGAAATTCTGTGGTGTATCTTTGTTACCTTGGCATTCAGAGTTAAGTTGCTTATAAAGTTCAGTTGCACTCTTTTCTTGGAAGTGAGAGTGCAGAATTAGTCTGAGTGTAGGTAGAGTCAGATTTGGCTTTCCTTCTAAATAACTTCGTAACTGTAAGCCTGGAGAGATGGCACGAATTACTGCTTCCACAATCTCACACTCTGGGTAGACTCTGCTCAGACCGTTCTCAGTTTGGTGTGCCAAACTTGGAAAAACGTACTTTCTCTCTTTGGCCTGGGTCACCGATTTGTCCAGAAATATTGAAATCTTTCCGCCAAGGTGGACTTGAATGTTGGGCATTCACTGACTGTTGGGGCTGGGCAGGAATTTGTAATTGAGGCTGGACGATGCTTTGTTTTGTGTTCACCTCTTCCAATTGTTGAATTTCACTCAGTTTTTGTTTCATTGCACTTTTTAGCTCATCTAACTCCCTTTGCAATTTTTCTCTTTCAGTGGTTTCGCTCTGGCCTGCTGTCTCACTCTAAGTGACTGTATTCAATTCTATAATTTGATCTCTCAATCTTAACAGTTCAGACATGCCACCATCTTCTAGCTCAGTGATGTCTTCGAGATGTTGGAGGACGTAGGAGATCAGGGACATGCGAGATTTAGATGCAATCTTCTCTGGCTCTGCCACATGAAGGAATTCACAAACACTTAGAAGCTTGTCTTTTGATAGGGAATTTAGCATGGTGATAACCTCAACTTGCATTTCCTCGAGCACTGTTGTCTCCATTGTGACACTAGAGTGGACTTTTTCACTGAGTAGTGGCTTACTTGAGACTGACGGAACTTGTCTGTTTCACCTGATGATCTCTGTGGCCTCAGGTCTACGGTTCTTTTGTCTCTTTCTTGCCTTTACTGCAGGAGCTCTTTCCACCTCACTGTCGACCTGGGTTGTTTTAAGGGGATGTACTGCATCAGAAGCTGTCTGCCAGGTAAGTGAAAACCGCACTCCGAAGAGTAGATCCCAGTGGTGCCTCCAAATGTTATACCCCTGGAAAAGGGGAGAGAATTAATCAGTCACACTCCACGATGCTTCTCCACTCCGAACTTTATGCATAATGGAGAAACACCGTGAGTTCTCCCCCTAGTGGTTGACAAGGCAGCAGCAATCGATTGCAGAACTTGTTGGACTAAACTAATTGATCACCGATTAACCCAAAACGACTTAAATAACATGTTTACACTTGACGAACCTTTTGAAATGGATTCAAATATAATTATACAGACATATATATTTCACTCTGTCACAGGAGCAACAGTTTGAAGTTAAAACATCTTGATGGTTTTGTTTCTTACAACATAAACACTGGGTTTGTTTGTATCTTTCTTTACTGTGCGCCTCTGATCTGCAGGCGCTTCTCCAGCATGCGCTTTTCTCCTGTCTTCCACATAAAGCCGCACGCAAACGCATAATTTTAAAATTACCGCTGATTTCGTTTTACTGACTGACTAGCATTCGTTTATTAATCTCTTTGTTGAATAAATACTTATAATTAATATATATGAGAGTAAATATTGTGATTTCAGATAGATTTAACATGTCTAGTTGAAGAGAACGTTAACCGAGAGGTTTTTTTTTGGAGCAACAGTTTGAAGTTAAAACATCTTGATGGTTTTGTTTCTTACAAACATGCATATTTTCGCTTCACAAGGTCTTAACTGATGAACTGGAGTCATGTTGAGTCACCTTTATTTGACCCTCTAACTCTAACACTTTCTATTCTATTTTAATTCTACTTTGTAAATGTTATTCATTTTTAATGTCTGTAAAAATAAAATTAACATTTTTAAAACCAACTATTTTGTAGAAGTCATTGTTATTTGGTTCTTAAGAGGCGTAAAATCTGGGTTATTATATTGTACATGGTAGTTATAATAAAGAACGGATAATTCAATCTCATTTAATGCTCCTTATGATGGTTAAATGTGCTCTGATTATCTTTAATGATTAAACAATAGTTTAAAACAAGACATGGTTTGTAGTACTGATTATTGAGGTCCATATCCGTCCGTCTTCCATGCCGCTTACTTTACGAGACGAGGGTGCTGGATGATAACTGACGTACAGCAGCGGTATCGGAGTAAAGAGGTTAGGAGAACGTTCTGGGAACCTTCAGAGAACTTTCTGGGAACGTTCTCGGAATGTAAATAGAACGTTCCCTTTAGGTTAGGGGAACGTTTGTTACTGTAACCTAAAGGGAACGTTCTATTTACGTAAAAAAAAAAATTCCTGGTTAACCAACAGGGAACATTCTTGGGAACGTTAGTTTCTGGGAACGAAAAATTGTTAGCTGGGTATTATAGTTTTTTTTTTTTTTTTAATGATTGCTTAGGCATGATTTTAAAAACAAGGCTCATTTTGTCAAAACACTACACACAATTCGCACATCCACACACAAGTATCAGAACATCTCAGATCTTTTGCAAAACGAAGCACTTCATTCAAACTCTACAATAATTTTACAAAACCCAGTTTTGGTACCATATATGGCTGTTACAAAGGTAGCGCAAAGGCGCCTTCTAGTGGCCATTGGTGGACGCACCGAAAACGATTATGCACGTGAAATGCGCATGTGATAAGCAGTTGCACTCCACAAGAAGACGGTTCCAGAATTCACGATGCAGTGTTGGTGGTGATTATTAAGAACTGTTTGCGTCCATTGGAGAAAAGTGAGTTTTATATTATTCCTTAGTTGTTTGAGATTGATTATATATGTGTAGATTTAGAAATCATTGAGTAATTGGTTCATAAATCCACTCGAGAGAAATGATGAGTCATGCCTTGTCATTAGGAAACAATGAACATCATTACAGAATGATTATGCACGATGTTTGTAGGTGATTTGAGTGTTGTTCCTGTATCATTGAGACAGATAATTCATTATTTGTTCTGTACCAATTCATATGTAAGGAATAGTGATTTATAACTTATAATTCGCCTGTTTAAGCTTTTGTATGGTGCTAAACATTATGTTCAACTGATAAAACTGTATCAGTAATGTTATGTGACATTTAGTATTGTTTTGTGTATTTGCAGCCACACAAAAATATGCCAAGAGTGTAACCCCCCATGCTGCAACTACTATACCGTCTAATGTATGTCTGTGCTGCTGAAGAAAATTCAGTAAACTGTTCAATTTGATTCCTGCCTCCTGTGCTACATTCTGACCGATGTTCCAGGGCGAGAACTATAGCCTCCTAAGCGCCTGCGGTCCTTTCTCTGAAACATTTCTGGTCCTTCGAGCTGGATCTCAGTGCTTACCTTGGTTACGGATGGCTACCTCTAAAGACAAGAGTGAAGACTTTTCAGACTCTATGCGGCCAAAACGGCAAATCCGACTGCCAACCTATTTGTCAGATTACCAAGTGAATGTAACTGGCCACAGAGAGCTGACTTCCTCTCACGTAGGAAATATGGCAGCACAAACTACATTTAAACCCGAAGAGGAGGGCAGTACAGAGAGTGATGGAACTGTCAAGAGGAGGCCCTCAGTGGGTTCCGCATCTGCCAGGCCTGAAAATCAGTATGCTGCAAGAGACGAGTGGGGAGCCTTTTATACTGAATTAGAGGATATTAAAGTTCTGCTTGGCCAAGACACCCAGCTCATAAGGAATTTATGTGACTGAGTGCGCCAGCATGTATTATCTAAATGCTGTGGGGCTTTGGAGGAAATATCACAAGCAGATACTCGCCCGTTACTACAAGACTCTTCACCTGTACCAAGGCAACCACTTTCAAACCCTGCTCACATATCCTCACCAGCCTCCACCTCTGCGTCATCCCAGGCCTCGCCACTTCGGTCCCAAGTGTTAGCTGTGTCCTCAGATGAGTCCCATTCAGTTAAACACCTAACACCCCAGAGAATTCGAACTACAGTGCAGGTAAACCCACCTCCTCAGGAGGATGAGTTATGGCCTGATCCACCCCCTCCTGTATGTCATGATATTCCTTATAGAGCTAGAGAAGAGCGTGAATTCCCAATCATCTATGTTACTTCCAACAGTCGTTCGAATCCAGTGCAACTAGTTGCAAAGAAATCAGTAGCACAGCCCTATTATGGACAAGATGCTCCGGTGCTTGTGAACTCAGTCCAGAATCCTGCATCCATGCCTCCCAGATGGGATATCAGGCCTAACCCCATGTCACAAGATATACAGAGCCAGTTCAGTCCACTATATCCTTCCCTTACTCGCCCTCCAACCCAAGCTCTATATTCTTTACCTCACTCTGCACACTGGCTAGCTGCTCCTCCACCACATCAGCATCAATCCATGTATGCTCCTCGATCTGTGCAACGGACTGAACCATGGCTTACATAACCTGAAATGCCATACAGTCAGCCGCAACCAGCACCTTATGAGACCTTTCCCACATTGATGGCAGTCTAGGAGAAAGTCTATCTAGGCCCTAAACCACGAATCCCCATGTTAATTCAATGAGACCCTGCAGAATTCGCCAGGCTGAAGATGTCATTGGAAAATTTACTGCCAGCTGATGCCACCGAGCTCTTTAAATACCAAATATTGGTGGACCATCTTAAATTAGAGGAAGCCTCCCTTATTGCTGACTCTTACCTGAACTCTGTCACCCCTTACTCTGACACAATGGCAGCCTTAAATGAGAGGTTTGGTCAGCCGCATCAGTTGGCCCTCAAAAGAATTGCCCAAGTCATGGATGCTCCTGACATCAAGCGGGGGGATCATGAGGCCTTTCAACGGTTTGCACTGCAGATCAGAGCTCTTTGCTGGAAACCCTTGGTGTAGAGGGAGAAGTGGAGCTGAAATGTGGCTCCCGTGTCGCCAGACTGCTTGGCAAACTACCTCTAGAGTTGCAAGCAGACTTCTGTAGACACCTGTATTTTCAGTCTGATTTAGTGTACACATTACCTGAATTCTCTAAGTGGCTCCAGTATGAAGCATGGTGTCAGGGTCATACTGAACCGCCCAATAAACTAAATCCTGAGAGCCGAGTGAAGCCAGTCCGGCTGACCAGACCAGCCACTGTCCTCCATGACGCCAAAGCTGTCTCCCAGGTGAAGAGCCCAGAACCAGGGCCCAAAGCATCCACATCAGGCAGGAAAAGAGGTAAAGTGCAACCTTATTGTCCCTATTGTGAGAGCTCTGAACACTTCTTAACCCTCTGGGGTCCGAGGGTGTTTTGGGGCCTGGAAAAGTTTTGACATGCCCTGACATTTGTGCTTTTTTCAGTTGCTTACAAACATTTGAATGTCTAAAGTTTAATAACACTGTAATCAGCACAAACTGGGCTACAATAATACATGAGCAGCATGAATATAGCCTACATGTTTGTGTTTTTGAGAAAACATTTATGCATGGTTAGTAAAAAATTTACATTTTTAAGTCATTAAAATAAGGCCATAAAACTCATACAGAACATTTGTTCACAAGACTTTTGAGAACTGATCTTGAAGTCTAGAGTTTTTGCTTCAAAATTATGTGAATATCATCTTACTCATTCACAGAAACCAATATATTGATTTAAATTTTCTAAGACACTTTTTGTGTAGAAAAGGGATATGTGAGGGGGTGTGAATTGTCATGGATAATGCTGTGATTCACACCTGAGAAGACAAAGGCCGACATAATGAGCTGCATAATGAGCCTTTCAGTCAGGTGTGTGACTGAGAGGGAATTGCTACAAGAAAGAAAAAATATGTACAAGTTATGTCACAGTAACACAATAGCAACTAATGCAAGTAGGCAAATAAAAAAAGACTTACTATATCCTCCACTGAATATCACGCCGGCGCGTTCTTCTGAGGAAAATCCAAAGCTTATTTCTCTCAGCGCGTCTTCTTCCAGAAGCGAAGTAGCCGAGATGAACTTTAGGAAAAGTCTGGCTGCTTTGTTTGCTGTGATGTGGACGTTGACATGCGCGCGTCTCACGTGGGCGATTGTAATATCAAAAGCGTGATCGGCGCGTGGGCGTGGTCACACTCATATGTATGTGTCAAATATTCGTTGAGTTTCAGTTTATTTTAGTGATGTGTTTCAAACAGATATGCGCGGAGAATGAGACGGCTAAAAGCACACCCTGTTTATTTTCTTTATTTTGCAAAAGCACAATGTTTTG